ACAAAAATTACAGACTTTATGAAGTAGATTTCAAATTGAATTTTGTTTATCTTTTTGTATTCTTTTTAGTCATACCTACTAACTTCTACTACTCTTTGTAAAAATAACGAAATAGAATACACCACGTGTTTTTGTATTATTATTGGCTTATAGCGAACTCGTTCGGATATAACGAACCAGTTTTAGTTCATTTTTCAAGTTCGTTATATCCGGACTCAACTGTATTTGAATTAAAGAATTGTTTTTTAAACTGTTTTTAACTAACATTCAATATATAGATTTGGCAACTGCGTCGCCGTGACTGTGGTGTGAAAGACAGCGTGGACGTCATTAGTCTTAGTGTCCTTGATTTTTTGCACCTTTGGTATGATGGGAGATGTTAGGAGTGCAGACTAAGATTGCGTCTTTAGTTATCTTATGGAACAGAAGAACCAAAAACAACTACCACTAAAGAAAAATAGTTATTAACGGCATTAAGTATCTATAACATATTTTCCACTTTGAACATAAGGGGCGGATAAACTGGAAAATAATCCGAATAAACAAAAGATAATGAAAACAATAAAATTGAAGTCGAAGTTTATTGCGTCTTCCATCGTTTTGTTCTTGTCCGCATGCTGTTGAAATTAAAACGCAGATTCCGAATCGGAAAAAATCGCCCGATTTTGCCGAACGAACGGAAAAATCAGGTTTGTACCGGATCAGCTGATTGGAGAAAAGCAGCTGATAGTAAAAACAAAACAGAAACGATCCGCGCAAAATGGTTCCTGCTTTCCTGCATCGCAGTAGTCGATGAAAGAGCGCGAGCGTGGTTGTGCGAGCAGCAGCAAGTCGCTCCCCCATTGTTTTTATGGCAAAAATCCAACTTTTTTCGCGGAAAAATTCCTGCTCCCTCGAAAACTTACCAGTTATTGAGTCAGTGATTTTTTGGCAAACGATGGCCCTTTGATCCTATTGGTCTGCAGCACTGTGATTTTTATGTATTTGGCTTTTTAGCTATTGACGTTTGATCTTTTGTTGTGCAGGTAAGTGGCCTTCGGCTCTTATCGACTCGCGTCGGTTTGTTATGTAAACAAAAGGCCAGCGCGAATGGATCCGTGTTGGCTGGCTCGTAACTGCACTGTTGCCAATATGCCTTTTTTGACTTTAACATTTTTTTTATTGGAAAAAGATGCAAAAAGGTGCTAAGACATCGTGTATAAAATTGTATTAAACACAAAGCTTGGAAAAATGCAACATTTGAGGCTGAGGTTTACGTACTAGCACTGATGTTTTGGGGGGCAATTGGGAAAAAGCAAAATAATTTGAATTTAATTTGTAGTAAGCAAAAACTGGAAATTGGAAAAACATTAAAAGAAGAGTGAAATTTTTGCTCCATGGTTCACTTTCTAAAAAGGTCATTTATTTCTGTTTAGAATTATGTACAAATGAGCGTTCTTGCTCATTTTGTCTCCGAGAAATGAGCAAAAACGGGAGGAAAATCTTGCACCTAAGTGCCCGATATTAAAATTTCGCTTTCCGGATCAAAACTAGTCGAATTTCCTCACTCACGTTGTTACGACTGAATCGAGTTTTCAATTCTCTATCCAACGATGCCAAAACGAATTCTGTGGCTTGAATGGTTCTTG